TACGGGCTCTGGGAGAGCTGCTTGACAGTCCAGGGAGCCCCGTCCCTCAGTTTACAAGACCTGAGCTAGGCTATTAACAATAGGATGTTTTGGAGGGCATTAATTCATTGGGTCGCCATGTCGGAAGCGACTTGACGGCACTTAACGCACATACAAAAGTGCTTCTGTTGACGTATCCCTATTCCACCCCCCGTGGATAAATATGGCTTGCAGGGACCTCCAGGGAAAGATCCATCCATGCCAAGGCAAACCCAGGGGTTTTTGCATGGGTTTCAGGCAGCCGATCGCCCCCATTGATTGTCCTTCCGCTGACTCAGCCAAGCTCCTCTGGGCCCGGAGGGAGAAGGCCGCAGCCTCTCCACCCAGCCTGGCTGGTCCACATGATGGCCACAAGGCATAGCTAGACTCAGGCAGAAAGTGCACTGAAGAGCCTGTCCAGCCCACCCATGTTTTCCCTCCTTTTCTCTCCCCTTCCCCAAGCGCAAGAGTTGCTTCCCGGAGACACAGGAGAAAGTGAAGCACCTGAAAAGGAAAAATGCCGAGCTGGCTGTCATAGCCAAGCGCCTGGAAGAGAGAGCCAGGAAGCTGCAGGAGGCAAACCTGAGAGTGGTGAGTATGGCAGGAGGAGTCCGGCCCCGCCTCTCTTCCTGCAGTGCTGCAGGGATGTCCGATTTAGGCACAGCGATTGGGTGCCTTAGTGCATCAAAGGGTCTGTGGCTCAGTGGCACAGTACCCGCTTGGCATGCAGAAGGTCCCCAATTCAAACCCCGGCATCTCCAAGTAGAAGAATCAGGTTGTGGGTGATATGAAAGACCTCTGCCCGGGAGCCTTTAGACATCACAGTAGACAAGACTGGTCTTGACTCTGTGTAAGCCAACATTGTACGTTCTTGTGTATGTGTACAGTAAATAATGGGAATAATGGAAGCCCAAAGCATCTCTGTATGATTCACCTCTCTGAGCTGGCTTCTTTTAAACCAGCTGCTATTGGGAACAGATACATCTGTTGCATCTCGGGCATGGGGTATTTTTAAAAATTCATTCATTCATTCATTCATTCACTCACTCACTCATTCATTCATTCATTCATTCATTCAACATACAAACCCCATATAGAAGAAAGTTAAAAATGTGGCCACAGTAGTGGCGGATCTACACACAGGCTTCATTCTAAATATCTAAAAATAAGTTCATACACAATTGTCGTCTGAATGCCATATGTTCAAATATTGATAAGGTTGTAAGGTCCTCAGTCCTTTGAATTATAGGAGATGGTCATTTATCTCTCCAGTGCTGTAATATGATCAACATGGGGTGTGTTTGGTTTACTGAGATACAACACCGATGACTTGCCTTTAGAGGAGGCTGGCCATTGTATCTCTGCATGAGTGTCACTGCTCTGATGTTGCCTCTGCTGGGGTGGGTACTTTTGTTGTATCTCTGCCTTTGGGATCATTGTATTGCTGCCCATGGAGAAACATAGCTAAAAATCACCTGCCTTCTAAAGAAACTGCCCGTTGTATCTGTGCGCAAGCCAGTTCTCTACGTTTGCTTTCTTCCTTGCTCAGAACAGAGAGGGCAATAATGGGGGAGGGCGGTTCCCTTTGTGCCCTGCTGGTGGACTTCCCGGAAGCCTCTTGTTGACCACTGCTGGAAATAGGAAGTTGGGCTAGCGGGATCTTTGGCCTGACCCCACAGGGCTCCTGCATTCTTATATTCTTACCAAAGTCATTCCAGTTCACCCTTGCGCATTTCTGCTCAGAAATAAGTCCTGCTATATTCAGCGGTGCTCACTCCCATCTAAGTGTGGGTAGGATTGCATTCTTTGTGTCCTATTTGGGTTAGGAGGACCCAGCTTCAGACGGCCACTCAGCTGTGAAGCACGACTGGGTATGGTTAGGCAGCCGTCTCTCTTAACAGAAGGCACCGCCCACGGAATGCGAAAGCTGCCTTGAACAGGTTCTCTGGAGAAGCGGCATAGAAATTTCCTTTAAAAGTCTAAAAAATTGTGTGTCAAAAGACTTCAGTGAAAAATAAAAGAACCTTTCTGGTTTCGTGGGCCTCCTAGCGTAAGTGGCAGCACATGCAGAATTAAAGACGGCCCTAAACGGGAATCTTTGAAAAACAAAATCCGCCCCCCTCTCCTTGGTTATTCTTTTCCCGATGCAGGTAAATGCACCGGTGGCCGTGAAGGGCTCCTGTGCGGGGCTCTGCAAGAAGGCACTGGCCCGCCAGCGCGTGACAGACTTGAGAGAGCAGGCCAGCGCACTCCTGGCGAAAGACAAGCAGATCATTGCCCTGCAGCAGGCATGCAGCTGCAAGCGAAAATCGTGACCCGAAAGGTGAGCCCAGGCCTCCCAAACCTCTGGTACCTGAACAGCAGGTGAGGCAGCTGATTGGTGGCTGGATTATACCACTGCAAGTCAGGACTCTTGAGGGTGACTGCTAAAGCCAAAGGATAAAAATAAAAGTCCCTGGATATGGAAAACTAGCAGCTCAGGGAGATGGGCTGTGACCATCCTGATATGTTAGGTTTCTTGGTGGAGGGACTGGGGGGGCAGTCTTATGGAGGAGCTTTCAAATCTCATGCAGGATACTAAATCATACAGAGACGATCATCGATGATAGAATGCTAGCAGAGCTGGCACCTGGCAAGGGCTTATGTGCTTTGTCGCTACTGATCTTCGGAGCTTTCCTTTTACTTCCGTTCTAGGATGGTCGGCCTTGCCTCCCTCTCCCGGACTTCCACCGTCTGCTCCGGGAATCTCAGAAGGAGGTGTTGCGCCTGCAGAGGCAGATTGCGCTGAAGAATTTCAGGGCCTCTCGAAGTTCCGGGATCCGGGATCCAGGTGAAATTTCCTCAGCTGCCAAGACGTCGTTGGCGTTGCCTGAGACACCCGGGCCCTCTTGCCCTGGGGGCTTTCCTCCCTCAAGCCAGCTGCAGCAGGGAGAAGAATTGCCCTTGGCCTCGGAAGCAACCTGCAAGGTAAATGGCCGGGATGGCTGCTTAGAACCTTCCTATCTGTGGTCAATCAGAAAAATGAAGCTTGTTCCTCCTGGGCTGCTAGGCTTGCCAGCTCCAGGTTGGTAAATTCCTGGAGATTTGGGGGTAGAGCCTGGGGAGGGCAGATTTTGGGGAGGGGAGGGCCCTCAGGGGGGTATAATAATGCCACAGAGACCACCCTCCAAAGCAGCCATCTTCTCCAGGGGAACTGATCTCTGTTGTCTGGAGATCAGCTGTTACAGCGGGAGATCTCCAGGTACCACCTGGAGGCTGGCAACCCTGTGGGCTGCAAGGAGGCCCTGGCATGCTATTGGGCTGGAGCAGCAGGAAGCAAAAGGAAAGGGCTTCACCATTCCAGACTGTGAAGGGTGGGGGAATCGTGTCTTTGGATTTTCCCCAAGTCATAAATGCCTCGCCAACTAGAAGAACCAGCGGAGCAGCTAGAGAGCTGCAGTGCTGGCTGCAGCTGGAGGAGCATTCAGAAATGCAGCTTTCCCCGCCTGCAGCTGCAAGTGACACAGCCTTGTGCTGATGCACATGTACACCTAAGCTTGAGATGATCTGTAAAGAAAAAAAAATCTACTTGACTGTTAGTATGAACATCAGTACATTTCAACAGGGAAGTGTTTCCCATCCAGAACCTTGTAACTAACATCTTGAAGCAGCCTTACAGTTGTGTGAACCCTAACGTGGACAGCATCCTCCATTTCCGTCCTTCCTTTTTTTTTTTTGCATTGAGCTGCTGCTCCTTTGTGCTTTTGGCTGGCCATTCCCAGCCTGGGGAAGCCCCTTTGCTCTTGGCAGCAGGGTCCTGGAAAGCCAGGGAGGCCCCAATGTCTGCAAAGGGTTTCCTTCCTTCCTCTCCCCCCCTCCGCCTTTTGTGTACATCTGTTCTCCCCTCCTGGGCAGCGCCTAATGGTTCAGCCCTGCAAATCCGCCCGGTTGGGACGTTGCCAGATCAGAGCTGTCCGTGGTGCTGAAACGGGTAGGAGCACTGCCGGGGCACCGGATTTCCTGCAGGTCGTAACATGGGGGTGGGAGGGAGGGAGGTATAAGGTGGAAGGAGTGGGGGGGAGGGAGCTGCAGCCCTCCCTGTACTAACCTGCACTGGGGGTGGGGGGCAGTTGATCTTCTGCTTAGAGGGGCCCCTGGGAGGAGACTCAATGTCGCGTTCATCTAGGGGGTAATGCCTTGGTTTGGGTAGGCCCTGAGCATGTGCTGAGTGCCTTTCTGCCTGCACTGCCCACATTTAGAGGTTGCAAGCCAGTAAGTTCCCAGGTAGGCCTGAGCCTCACAACCTGTTGGGAGGGAGGGGTGTGAAAAGGTGGGCTGCTGTATTCTCCTTGGGCCTCACCCCACCAAGCACAGGAAGCCTCTTCCCCTGGCCAGGAAAGGTGTAACAAGGTTCAGCTTCCGTCCCCACAGAGTCAAGGTTCACTTCTTCCAACAAAGATCGCCCCTTGCTGCTGGCTTTCCGAGATGGCAGGTGAAAAACCCAGCTAATTTGAGAGGACGCTTGGGGACAGGGGATTATCACTTGCTCCCTCTGTCCTCTCTGGCAGTTTTATTGGGCCGCGTACTGTTAAGGTGCCCTGTGGCCTCCGAAAGGACAATGAGACGGTGTGTAAATATTTCAGGCGGATATATTTCCAGCGTACAGAAGGGCTGGTGCTACTGCTACACCCCACATTTGCTCAGTTCCCATCCTCTTGCTCTTTTTAAACATGTTTACTTGGAAGTAAATCCCATGGATTGCAATAGGGAGTTTATTTCCAGGCAAGTATATTTAGGCCTACACTTTTTTTCACCCGTAGCGTGTTTGCAGGCTTTTCTGACTGTTATGGGGGTTTTTTACGTGATCCAAGACGTGGGCTAAATTCTAAAGTTCAGAGTAGGTTCTGGGGGGCCCTGACTTTGTTTATAAATTCCTTGCCTGCTTTTTTCGACCCCAGGCAGGACCTCGAGGCCTCTTGCACTGAAAGGACAGCCATGCATAATGCATGTCTGCTGGGTTCTTGGCATTCCCCATCATTGGGCTGCAAAACAGCTGCTCTGCTGCTCTCTGAGCTGAGATTTCTCTCATTTCCAGACAGGCCCAGGAGCACCGGCGTGTGATGGAGAGGAGACCCCCCCTCTCACGAAGGTGATTGCTGCTTCCCCTGAGATCAAACAGCAAATCCAGCAGCTGGTGAGCTTTTTTTTTTTTAAAGACACATTCATTTTTAAAGTGAACAACTGGACCTTTTATCTGCAAAAAGATGCTATTCAGATAAGCTGTTCAAAGGTGCTGTAGGGAGGAACCATGGCTTAGTGGTGAGGCATGTGTTTTGACTGCAGGAGGACTCCTCTTGGCATCTCTGGTTAAAATTAGCAGGCGTTGGGGAATCCTTTTTTTGGCTGGAGACTCAGGAAAGCTGCTGCTTAGAGTAGACTGGATTCGGCTGGATGGACCAGTGTGGTCTGACTCTGCACAAGGGAACATCATATGTTCATGTCCTATGCCAGAGGTGTCGAACTCTTTTGTTACGCACTTTGTCGGGCTGGGCCATGTGGGCCATAAAATGTAATGCCAGGTACAGGAGATATAAACTTTATAAAGGACACAGGCAAACCCAATGAACGATATTATTTTTTACTCAAAATACAAACATGCTTAAAACATTAACACTCATACGGTACTTCCTTAAATTATCTCCCTGATGTCCACCCTCTGTTTTCCACTGTCCATTACTCATTAGTACTGGGACGGTATATACAGGGACATAATGCACAGCCCCCATCGTCTGGCAATAAAGGTAATGACTAGTTGCTCAGGGGCCAGATAAGATCCCTGGATGGGCCGGTTCTGGCTCGTGCGCCGTATGTTTGGCACCTCTGTGCTATGCTATTTTCACGGTCTGATTCCCCGTTCCTTGCATGCCACATCCTTATCCAGTTAACCGTGTATCATGCTCCTTGTTCAAAAGCAGAAGTTCCTCCAAGCGATAGAATGCAGATTTGCAAGCTGCGTGTCTGTTGTTTATCTGCTGTTGGCTTAATTATGCATTCACTTGGGCACCCAGCCCACCTCCAGCATGCTTTCTGTTTTCCCAGGTCTGCCAGTAATATTCTCAACCCTCATTGCCTGTATGAGATATTAACCTGCAGCAATTAATATACGGTTTTCGGGGAGCTGAAAATTCTGGATTTTTGCATTGTCTCCTGCATTAGGAATGCTAGCTGGATGGGGTGGGTGGGGAGGAATCACGCTTTCCCAGAGACAAAACAGTACAGTTGGGATTCTGGGAAAAGAAATGCAAATTCTACTACAAAGATCGTTTTTATTTTAAGGTTTTTTCCTCTCCCCCCCCCCCCCAAATCTGGTTTTGTAGAGCCCTGAGGACACCAAAAAAGAACAATATAAAAATAATATCAATATCAGAATTCTGTTTGGGAAAATGTATTGCTCACTGCATTCATTTATCATCAGAGAGCATTAAGAAACTCTTCTGATGTTTCCAGTAAGTTTAGGGAATGCTGGGATATGCTCATAATGAAGGAATTTCTCCTTGTCTGTGTGGTGCCTATATATTCTAAGGAATTAGCGAATGAATGTTATTATAAATTACTGTTTACTTCTTAAAACAGCATGAATAGCTATGGGTTACATTTGTTCTTTATGATGACGGGACCTTGTTAATACTATATTCTCTTTCCGTTTATATGGCATGTTAAGCAAAGCTCACGGCTTATATTATAACAGTTTGGCGCGAGCTGGCACTTTTAATTTATATTCTGCTTGTCTGACTGAATTACCGATCAGGATGTTTTTTATTTACAGCCCACGTGTCTCGCTGAATCGGTGTTAGATGTGTGCTATGTATTACTCAAACTGAGCGATGCATTTTGTGTACATGGATATTTATAGTTTTAAATAATAGTATCAGTATCAATTTAAAACCACGTGCGCACCAGGAATAACTTGGCAGCACAAAAATATAGCACTCTCTTGCCACGTGTTAGATATCACGAGTCAGCTTGGTAGCTCCCGCCCCCCGTTGTCCCCACCAAGCCTGCTGAAACAAGAACATTTTTCTTAATTCCCTCTAATTTTAAAAAATCAAGCTGGCTCGGTGGGCTGCAGTGGAAATGAAGGGAAGCCCTTCCTGTGGAACCCCAGGAAAGGCCCCACTCTTGTTTCTGTGATTCAGACCTCTGAAGAACAGGGGTCATCAAACTCTTTGATGAGTTTGCTAAAGGGTGGAGCAGTACATTCAAGGGGAGGCATTTCCTCTGAACAGAAGCCAGTGAGGATTTCTTTATGCCATTTAGCACATTTTTTTAAAAAAATCCTGCCTTCCTCTCGGGAGCTCAGTGGAGCTCACATGGCTCTCCCTCCTCCACTTAATCCTCACAACAACCCTGCGAGGGAGACAAAGCTGAGAGAGAATACTGGCCCAAGGTCACCTAGTAAGTCTCTTGGCAAGGATGGAGTTGTACCTGGGTCTCCCCAGTCCTAGCCCAGCTCTCTTAACTGTGACGCTGTGCCGTCTCTCTGTAAAGGTTAACCTCTGAACTGGGCTTGGGAACAAATGAAGCGCCAGAAGCGGCTCTGTTAGTGCAACTTGTGAGTGTTCTTATTGGCGCATTCCCACTATTAAACGGGTCGCCGTGTCTTGAACCAGTGGACATTTCCAGCAGTCTTCCAAGATGCCCGGCCTCCAAGCAGTGTTGCAGACCCAAATGGCTGTTTTAGGGTTGCCAGCTCCAGCTTAGGAAATTCCTGGAGATTTGGGGGTGGAGCCTGGAGGTTCTGGGGAATCTAGAAAGGCAGGGATTGATTTCTAAAAAGGGAGAGAAACCGGGAACTGAAGTTCCCACACTCCAAACAGGAACCTGCGGCCATAATCTCAAATGGGAGGTGGGTAATTGCAGAGCTGGTCCTGTGGCTACCATACGCTCCCCGTTGCTTTTTCGGTAGGAGTCTGAGCTCAGGAAGAAGCGGAAACAGTGCGAAAACCTTGAACATGAAGTGAGGAAGAAGCACAAAAGATACGCGGAACTTGTGAGTGATCCCCAGTCGACACTCCTGGAGGGGTCCCCCCAAGTCCCCCACACCCACTTTCTCTAACTGACTTCTAGACGTGGAGCCGTTGGCCCACAGAGCCAAAAGCGGGGTGGGGGTGGGGGTTACCCTCTTTTCTTGTTTTATTGTTTGTCACCAACCATACTTGTTTATAATGTGTATTATATTGTTTCAAGCTGCTTCGGGCCTATTTTATGGAGAACAGGGCTAAGAATTTAAATACCGTTGAGTAGGGAAGAGAGGTATCCTTCCCCCAGCACCTCTGCAGGTGTAAAGTGGACATCAGCTGTGTACAGTTCTCCAGCCTAATTCTGTGGTCAGAATAAGGGCCAGTTCACACATCACATTTTGTGAGGTACACATATGACACTGTGAATAGGAGTGTTATGTTGTGGCACCTTAACGACTCACAAGATTGTATCCCAACATAAGCTTTTGTGGACAAGAGCACATGTCGACCGTGGCCCCTTTCACATTACCATTCTAAACTGGATGTTATTAGTTGTCGGTTCGATTTCGCGTAAAGCGATACAGGGATGGGGGGCTCGTACAGCAAATTTCCTTCCGGTAACGAGCCGTCTCTGAAGCGCTGTAGTCATTTCAAACGGTGCCACTTTTCCCTGCCCTTTTTTTGCCACACGATCTTCCTCAGACATTTTTTAATGTTTTAAGTTGAACGCTATAGCGCTAAACCAAGATAGCACTTCAGTGCTTCAGTGGCACCATTGAGACGCCTTGACTTCATTGACTCAATGGCGTCAATGGACTCAGGGCATCTCAAGTGCTATATTGATACAGTGAGATCGCGGCTGTTGTTACCTGGAAACAAGAGGAATGAAGTAGATTGGTCAGTGGGTGCTCAGGGCATCAGGTGTACACTGCTAACCTAAGAAGGTGCCTGTAGCAAACATCCTGTTGTTCCCCCGCATGCCTGCAGCCCATCCATGCCCAGACACGATTGGCTGGTTAAGTGACTTGTTGCCAAGTGGATTGCAGGTATCTATCTCAGGGAGGCAAACTTCTTCTCTTTGTGGGTAAGACCCCAAGTTATAACCTTCCACAGTGTTAAAGGTTGTGATCCAATCTTATTAGTCTTTAAGGTGTCGCTACCAGACTCCTGTTTATTTTCAGTGCAGTAGACGCCATCCCTCTGGAATTAATATGAAACTGGATCAACCTGAAAGCATTCTGGGGTGCAGCTGAGCCCCGGCACCGTTGCCCTCCACTCTCGCCAACACCCTGTCCCTTGGGTCAAGGAGAATACTTTTTCTTGTTGTCGTCCCCCCCCCCCCCCAAGGATTTGCTGGGGTGTTTTTTCCCCTCTCCCCTGGGCAGGAAATTCAGCTGCAGGAAGTGCGGAGCGATAATGCCCAGTTGTCTGAGGAGAACGCTGTGCTTCATAGGCAAGTGGAATGGACAGAGAAGGTAATCGGTGGTTTCTCATATCTCCACCACCACCACATCCATCATCACAGCATGAAATGAGCCGTGTAAAAACCTTACGCTGAAAAAGAAATGCCAGCCCTTTGCCACATTTGGTGTGACTGAAAGCCACATTTCGGCCGAGAAAAGCTGGATTTCTGCAGTCTGTGTTTTTAAAAAAAGATACAAGGGGTTTGATTGGGAAGAGGGAAGGCTTGGGGGTCTGGAATGCCCCTTTACAGAATGCCCAGGATATTGTGGAATGGTCCCAAGCTAGGATTAGAAGGCGTGTGATATCTGTCTGGATGGGAGACGTGCTGAGGACCCACCATGGTTGCCCCCTTCTGGGATATTAATAATGCATCCGTAAACTAAATTATGAATCCCTGTTTATGGAGTAGATGTGCCCAGGCATATTGGAATGGAGCCAAGGCTAAACGGAGGGCCAAACTAGATGGGATTTTTTCTTTTTTAATGAGTTGGGTCTGAAACGGCTACTTCCATCTTGGTGCAGCCACGCCAGCATGCGGGATGGGCGGGGTATAAATATAATAAATAAATAAGTAAATGTGCACTCCAAAGAGTAGCACTCCCCCCCCCCCAGTGCCTTTTTGGCTCTGGAAAAGCAGCATGGGGGAAGGCTGGAACCCAAGCTGCAGTGGAAACAAGAAAACCGCCTCATATCATCTCCATAGCTTGGGAGGCACCAAACTGGGATCCTGGGAGGGCCGGGGTGTGAATCCCCATTTCTGTTTTGGAGGCTCCCTGGGTGACTTTGGGCCCATCATAAACTCTTGGCTTTGTCTACCTTGCAGGGTTGCTGTTGTGAGAGAGTGGAGGAGGGGAGTGGAGATGTCCTTTTTTGCATTTTGTGTGTGTATGTGTGTGCCCGTGCCTTGAAGTCATGGTGACTTCTGGCGACTCCTACTGGGGCATGGAGGACGTTTAGAGAAGTGGCTTGACAGCCTGCCTCTGACCCTCCCGGCCGTGGTATTCCCTGGAGGTCTCCCATCCAAAGACTTGCCGGGGTCGGCCTTGCTTAGCTTCCGAGATATGACAAGATCGGGCTTGCCTGGGCTATCCAGCTTGGGGCGGGAGAACAATGTTCTAAGCCGTCCTCCTGAGTCCCAACCGGGCAGGCAGGTGGGACTTAAATAAAGGCCAATAAATAAATGAATACAAACCGTGAGCTTCTCTCCTTGCGCAGATTGAGTCTGAAAATGCTGACCTGAGGCTGCGGGTGGCCGTGGTGACGGAGGAACGGGATTCAGCTCTCCAGAAATCTCAGGAGCTCCAAAACAGGCTGGAGAGTCTTGGGCAGGCGTTGAAGGTCAGTGGAATCCCAAGCAGCTGGAGGGGGAAGGGACGTGGTGGCCGGATTCGTAGACTGTGGCACAAAAACCCTGGTCGCAGCAGCCTTTCACATTAGGGGAAACAGCAACCTTAGTTACGTCGACCGTAGATAACAGTGTGGGTGCAACACACAATAATTCGGATCTGCATTGTGAAAATGGCCCTCCTCCTTTTGCAAGTAGCAGTGTGTTCCTGTGTATGTTGACTCAGAGGTAAACACCATTGCACTTAATAGGCTTCCCTCCCAGGCAGATCTGGATAGGAGTGAGTTCCAAACATGTGGGGCCAGCATATGGGAAGGAAGAAGGATCTGTGCAAATCCAGATTTTAGATGTCCTGAACGATTCACTTAAACTAAGGAGTTTATAAAAACTTGGAAATAGTTTGAGAGTGCTGGTGGTGGGTATGATGTGTGGATTTATTCCTGTTGCCCCATTGGTCTCCTGTCGTAAAGAGGTTTTGCGCATTTCTGTACAGTTTCAAAAACCTGCAAACCACGTTTCACCAAAGGCAGAGGCTGTGGCTCAGTGGTAGAGCATGTGCTTGGCATGCAGAAGGTCCCAAGTTCAATCCCCGGCATCTCCAGCTGAAAGGATCTGGCTTTAGGTGATGTGAAAAACCTCCACCTGAGGTCTTGGAGGGCTGCTGCCAGTCAGAGGAGACCGTACTGACCTTGATGGGCCAGTGGCCCGATTTCAGTATACGGCAGCTTCATATATTCAAAGGTGACCACATGACAAAGGAGTTTTCATGTATTTGTGTGTGTGTGTGTGTGTGACCCACAGGAAGCAAATCTACTCTCTGATCCCTTTTGTTTCTTCTAAACATGGTGGCATGTCAGCCAGCCTTTTATAAAAGGTATGTCGCATATGAACACACGTGGAGCTGCCTTATCCTGAATCTGCTATGTAAACAGGGGACACGGCTATAAGTAGTAAACCTAAACACAATAAAATCATGTAATAAATAAATAAATACACTCCTGTTATTACAAAGTCTGTAAATGTGCTTTAACCTAAATATACCAACGATAGACATATAGTGAAATACCTATACAGCTATATATATATAACCAGAACGTCAAAATGCAGTCTCTAAGATGTCCATTCCAGACATTTGAAAAATACATGAATATCTGACATAGGAATAAAAAGGTAAAGGTAAAGGTTCCCTTGCTCGAAAGCCAGTCGAATCCGACTCTACGGTTGCGGTGCTCATCTCCGTTTCAAAGCCGAAGAGCCAGCGCTGTCCAAAGACGTTTCCGTGGTCATGTGGCTGGCATGACTAAACACCAGGGCGCACGGAACGCTGTTACCTTCCCACCGAAGTGGTCCCTATTTATCTACTTGCAACTTCTCGCTTTCAAACTGCTAGGTTGGCAGGAGCTGGAACTAGAGACGGGAGCTCACTCCGTCATGCGGCACCCGGGTCTCGAACTGCTGAACTACTGACCTTCCACAGCCTGCAGTTCAGCGTCTTAACCACTTGAGACATAGGAATACTTTCCAAATAATTATCCTGCTGTGTGAGAACGTTCACTTCCTCCTAACCTGGTGAGGCTGATGAAGCTTGTAGCAAGTAAGGATCCACAGCCAACGAGCTATTGATAAAAGTCGTTTCAAGACTCTCTTTCTCAAGAGCTAATGGTCCTTTTACAAATGAAGTCCCATGTATAACTGTATAACAAGCTACATACAGTGCTCATCATTGTAATGTTACAAGGACACTTAATTCGAATTAATCCTTGTTTGGGTTTATACTGAATCAGACTGTCGGTCCATCAAGATCAGTATTGTCTGCTCAGACTGGCAGCAGCTCTCCAGGGTCTCAGGTTGAGGTCTTTCACATTATCTGCTACAGAGCTCTTCTTACAGGAGCTACTGTAAGCTCTTGGAGGATTGGCTACATTAGGGATGGGTCGCTTAATATGCAAATGAGTACCTGCTACAAAAAGAGCCCTACGTGACCTTTATAACTGGAGAGCCCAGGGATTGAACCTGGGACCTTCTGCATACAAAGCAGGTGCTCTTCCACTGTGCCACAGCCTCTCCCCTGTTCCTTTCCTCACTGGCCGAAAGCCCCAAACGTCCAATGGAATCAGCACACAGACCTCCTCATTCTCCAGATTGCAGGGACTAGACAAACTCTGTAGGGTGAGCTCTGGGAGAGCTCTGTATGGTACCCTGTTTCTCACAGCTAAGCAAGGGAGGGCCTAGATTTCCTGGGCGCAAGTCCCCATGGTGTGGTTGGGTCTGTGGCTTCTTTATTTCTCCAGCACATGAGAGATGTCGCAGAACGAAGGCAGCACCTGGAGCTGGAGCACGAGAAGGCCCTGCAGAACTTGCAGAAGAAGCAGGATGAAGTTCGACAACTCCAGCAGGTGAGAAAACCCGGCCAAGGGAATCCCTTCTGCTTCTAGGAGATTGTGGGCGCAAGTATGATTCTCCCATCACTTACTTGACTCTATGGTTGCCAGACCCAGCCTGGCAACCAGTGGGGAATTGGGGGGCAGCCTTCAGCAACACTGTGACATCTCTTCTGGGGAAACCTGCTTTTACCATAGAGTTTCTGGCCATTCCTAGAGAGGCATGATGTCACTTATGGGTTTTCCCCTGTAATGACCTCATACCACAGGACCAATGGCCCTTTTTAGTTTTATTTTTCTCCGGACACCACTCAGTTGGGAAGTGGGGCAGGGAATTCCTTCCCCCCCATCTTGCAGTTGAAGGTGTGGAGCATGGGGCGCTGATGTGTAGCTTTTTGAGGTGAAGGGGGATGTTTTGCCTGCGGGGGTTTGCTGCAGCTCACTTTCCCAGGTGCACCTCAGTGCTAGATGGTGCAGTGCCTGACTGGCAAGCATGCCATCCAGGGGTCATTTTCTGAAGGAGCGCACTGGAGCGGAGCTCCGGCAGCAAAGAGCCCAGGGGGTGGGCACATGCAACAAGCCCCACCCCCTGCTCCCAGCAGCCCTCAGTCAGAGCAAGAAGCAGCCAAGTAAGTTGCAGAGCCCCCCCCCCGCCCCCCTGGTCCAAAACAGTCCAGTGGCACCTTTAAGACCAAGTTTTATTCAGGTACAAGCTCTCCCTCCTCTGCGAGGACAGATCTGCACGTCCCCCTCCCCCAATAGCTAGCAATCCAAAACAGTCCAGTGGAGCCTGAGCGGTGGGTGTTGCCTTCTGACACACTTCCGGTGATGTCAGGGGGTGTGGCATATGCAAATAAGTTGTGCTAATATGCTAATGAGCTCCTGCACTTCTTTTTCTATGGAATGACCCCTGCTGCCATCTACCTTCCTGTTTTGGGACTGAGCACAGATATAATCTTCTGACTACCCCGCCTTCTGCCATCTTACTGGCCATCATCCAGGGGTCCAGCTTGGGAGCCGCATGTGGCTCTTTCACACAGTCTAATTCAATGTTAATAAAACACAAGGTTGCATATTTGTCAATAAAAAGGCGTGTGTAATATTTGTTCATGTCTTGCGGCTCTCAAACATATGGCGTTTATTCTGTGTGGCTCTTACGTTTGGCCACCCCTGAGTAGACTACTGTCTTTCCCAGGTTGGGAGGTAGGGGGGTTTAAAAGGTTTAGGAATGCCTGTTTCATATAGTGTTTAGCACACAGCCAGGGCATCACACTGAGTGTTGAGCAACAGCAGCAGGATCCTAACCTCTGTTTGCTCTTGGATCCAGGCCCAGGCTGAAGCGCGGAAGGAGCATGAAGGAGCAGTGCAGCTCTTAGAGGTAAGGAGAGGAGGGAAGCAAGAGGGTCAGCCATGAAACTGGGCAGAAAGGGTGTAAAACCCCTCATCTTCCTTGAACTTGCAATGCTGACATGAGCAGGCCTCATCTTTCTAGGCAAATCCCCAACTTGGGGTGAAGGCTTTTGAGTTGTGCTAACTCTAGAGGTATGCTGTGTACCATGGAATCTGGACCATAAAGCCCAGGTAGTTTGAAAGGTCCTTTATCCCCCAAGGCATATTGCATATTCCAGCACCTTCCCTGCATTTTCAGACTTCATTAAAGTTAAGTCTGTAGTCCCTTTTACATCTGAGGACCTTGGGGGAAATCTGCAGGTTGTCCTCTACCTAATCAGCTGCTAATTCTGATCCTGCCCTCCATTATTCTGACTAGTAATTAGAAAGGCACTGGGATGGTCACGACTGAAATAATAATACAATACCAAGAAGTAAAATAAAAGCAAGTGAAGCCAATAAAAAGAGAGCAGTTAAAAACATGGCAGGGCATAAAAGCAGGATTAAAAATTATATTGCTAAAACAGTTCTCTGTCTCGGAGCAGACCATAAAACAGCTTGCAAAGATCTTTTTTTAACCCTTTGTTGCAAGACGGGGTAATAGGAAGTGTTTGGGCCCAGTGCCTAAAAGAAAGTGAGGTAGTCAGTGGATGTGCTTCAAGGGGGGGGGGACATTTCAAAGGAGATCTGGTGTTTCTAGATTTGGTACAAGAAGAGATGTGGCGCAAGAAGTCCTTCTGGCTCCTCAGAGTCAAACCAGATGAAACGTTGAAAGATCTGTGATTGTCTGTGTGGTTTTGTCCCTTGCGAATGGCAGTTGGGGAACACGAATCAGATTAGGGTGATTATTACAGTGCTGGAAAATGAACTGGCCATTGGAACATATTCCCTTCAAGGAAAGGCTAAAGATTTCGCGGCTTTAATTTCGAGAGAAGACAACTGGGAGGTAGGGGGACATGTTAGAGGTTTATAGTAGCACACGTGGAGTGGAGAAAGTGGATAGAGAGAGAACTTTTTCTCCCATAACACTGGATCTCAAGGGCACCCAACAAAGTTGGGTGGGACGGGAAAAAAGAAGCCTTTCTTCACTCGTCAAATAATTAAACTGTGGGATTCACAGGGGATCTAGTAGCACCAATTTGCCTGTCTTTGACAGGGAAAACCAATGGAGGGTGAGTCCATCAATGGCTATTAGCCACAGTGATGAAATGAAATTTCCATGTTGTGAATATCAGTGCTGGGGAAAGGCAACTCTTGGCCTCAGCACTCTGCTTATTGGCCTCCTGCGGGCATCTGTTTGGCTGCTACGGGAGTGGGATGCTGGAGTAGACCAGTCATTAATCTGATCCAGCCCTGGCTGCCCGCCCTTGGGTTCTTACATCCTTCAGCAGCTGTTACAGAGTCCTCCCTTGGAGGAATTGTCAGGATTTGGGGATAAAGAAAATGCTTTTTTGTGGTTGACAATATTTCTCTGCTTGATTTTTTTATTGTTTCCAACAGAGTACCTTGGATTGCATGCAGGTATTGCTGATTTTACCCTGGAGTGAACTTTTCCTTTCCCGCTTTCACCCAAATCCTGTCTGTAGAATTTGCCAGGATGGGATTTGGAACAGAGAAATGTCAAATGCCCAGAAATGTTAAGGGAACAGGGATGGGGGCAGGAAATAAAATACAGTAAGGGTTTCTTGCATTCTGGATTTCTCAGTTCCAGGGTTAACAGGGGCGTCAGTCCTGCAGAACAAGAGCAAGCTTTCAAGACAAACAGGTCTGTTCTTCAAGTGAAATGTTAAAGAAGCAACAAAGCAAAATGCTTTACTGCTACACAGTTTCCTCTTTCTGAACATTGTTCAGGTATACACAAATAGAAGTTAAAAACTCCAGTTAAAATATAGAAAATTTAACATAAAACTAGATAAAATTATATCAAAAAGAGAAAAATAGATTATAAAATACATAACATAGCATCACAAGTGACCATTTTTAAATTTTAAACCAAGGAATTGAAGAGGAACAAGAGCTGTATAATAGACCTCCTGAAGGAAACTAAGTCAAGGCTCAAAGGGGCAGGACTGAAATTTACTGCACACTTTAATTGCCTGAGCACAAAATCTAGCAGTTAGCTTAGTAATAACTGAAATTATTCAAAATTCAGATACCCCCAGTATTTAACACATTGTTTCAATTTAGAGATAATGATATATGAAACAAACAGATTTTGCACAGATTTTTTTTAAAAAAAGCCTTGTGTGTTGAGAAATCGATATGCAGTTACGGGAACAAGCAAATTAAGAACAGGAGAAGAGCCACACTGGATCTTTCTTTTTAATGTGTCATTTTATGTCATGCTGGTTGGCTGGCTGGTGTGAGCTACTTATACTGCTTTATCATAAATTCTTTGCCTTGGCCAGGCAGCTCTGGTCTGGGATGTTTTACTTGCTCTTGCTCTAGAACAAAGTTTGAGTCCAGTGGCACCTTTAAGACCAACAAAGTTTTATTCAAGTGCAAGCACACGTCTTCAGATACAGTAAAACATAATTTCCTCAACCATTACATATAGAAAGGGGGGGAGTTTAGTTGCCCGGAAGGGCCAATTAGAGTCAAGACAGAGACAAAAACAAAATTGGAAATTACCAGTCCATACATATTGGTGGAGGGTGAGCAGTAAAATATCATACAGCATAATGAAGATGTTCAACAGATACATGGATCAAACAGGAATAACTTTTATATGGTAACCATTTGTTTGGATTCGGTTCTGGGGCAAAAACAGTGGAGGAAATAAATATGTCAATTGGCGATTGACATATCCTTAATTGCAGAATGCTGAGAGTAATTGTGGTGTGCTGCTTATTTGGGGGGGGACTGTTTTCACTTTAAAATTATACTCTGTGTTTGTAAACTGGGTGGTTTCTGCTGCCACCAGGAATTTTAAGAAATTCCAAATCTTCTCTCTTTTTCTGCTGCTGGTAATGTGACCCAGGGTCTGGGCTTTCAGAGGTCTATGTGGCCCTGAGGAAGGATTGAACTGAATTCTGGGTTAAACTTTAACAAAATTTGATTTATTGATTAAGGAACAAAAATAAGTTGCTGGTTAACCGTAACTGTTTTGGGGGAAAGGAACTGGTAAATAAACTGGCAAGGTATCACACAATCTTTTTGACACTAAAAATCCACACTCACACATAGGCAGCCACACTGGCTAAGCTCTTTGTATTATTGACTCTCTTTCATAACTTTAGAGTCTCACAGACCTTTCTCATAGCTCCTTCACACTTAAACTTTTAAAGACGTATATACTGAACTCTTTAAGTTTCCACACAGAACTCTGTCATCTCACTCACTGACTGACTCACTAACATAACTGACTAACTCCCACTGACTTCAAGACACACACACACACCCCAGTCACTTCAAAACTCATCCCACACTCTCAGTCATCCTCCAATGACAGCACACTTGTCTCCCTCAATCACTCTACTCTTCTAGCACTGCACTCCAACCAAACATTTAAAGACACATACACTAAAACAAGGAATCATTACAGTAATTAATTGAGATTAATTAATCCTCTCAAGCTCATCTGCAGCATCTTCTTCTTTGAAGTGGGACAATTGGCTGTGCAGATTTATCTCCCCTGTCCCTAGACCAGAGAAATACATTCCAGTTTCTACTATTCATTACATTACATTCTACTAATCTATTATTTCAAATAAGAGATAAAATAAAATGGCCTTCTTGGGATTGATGAAAATTCAGATGTAAGGACTGAATGAGGTTAGCATACGTAATGAGATAAGAAACGAATATCTTTGTTAAGTCCTGGGGATTCCATTGTTCTGAGTGTTGTAATAACCAAGTTGCAAGTTATTACAACACTCAGAACAAGGGAATCCCAAAGGACTTAACAGGGATATTGGTTTCTTAACTCACTACATAGGCTAACCTCATTCAGCCCTTACATCTGTATTCTCACCAATTTCCAGAAGGGCCATTTTATTTTGTTGGTCTTAAAGGTGCCACTGGACTCCAACTTTGTTCTACTCCTTCAGACCAACATGGCTACCCACCTGGATTGCTCTTGCTCTGTGTGGCATGTGCCAATGAAGATGGTGTCTGTTCCTTTAAAAGGGTGACTAAAGTGTTACCTGAACACTCTGTGTGGGAGGACGTATGACGTCATGATAGCTGTCAGTTTGCTCTTCCTCTTTCCCAGGACTTGACATTAATAGTTTGTGTGCTGTCTTGTATGTGCGCTCTGTTGAACATTAAAACCTCACAAGATCTACACTCACTGTTTGGGAAAGTGGGTTCTTTGTCCTATCACTGGTTTTATGGGTAACTGTCACCTGGCTTTTCCCATCCCGGTCTCTGTCCTTGCACAATTCTTTCACATTCTTCCAGGCTTGCAAAATTTCACTCTGCTCGTGTGCACATCTGCCAGTTCAGTCTTCCAGAGAAATCTCTTTACGACTTGAAAAGAGGCTTCTTTCAGAGGTGTCTCTCCCCTGCCCCTCCTTCAGTTTCAGAGATGTCCCACTGCACCCTCCTTGGGGTTAGCAGATTTTGGCCCTGGTGTGGGCATGTCCCTCTTTTGCTGATCCCTAGTATATATCCTTTAAATAGGATGCAGCGTGTAAATCACATGGCTCACGGCAGCCAGTGAAATATAGTGTTTAGAGTGTTATACTTAGGGGAAACCTGGGTTCATATCCCCACCTTGCCATGAATCTCATGGTGTTGGATAAGTCACTCTCTTAGCCTAGCCTACCTCACAGGGGTGTAAAGGGGAAGAGAGGAGAATGAGCTGTGTTGCCCTGAAGTTCTTGGAAGACAGGAGGGAAAACAATGCAATACAGAGTCAAGGAAAGCCATAAAAATTAATGAGACTTGAGGCTTCCCAGTGGTGGTGGTGGTGGTGGTGTGTGAGACCTCCGGACATCACCTTGGGCTGTGCATTTGAATGCGAGAACCTTCGGGTCCCTCTTCCGAACGTGTGATCCAAGACCCACCTTTCCATGTTGCTTATCTCCTCCTCCTGCCGGACTCCTCAGGACCGTGTGAAAGAGCTGGAGGATCAGTGCCGGAGCCACACAGAACAGTTTAACTTCCTCTCTCAAGAGCTCCGGCGTTTTCAGCTGCAAACTGGGAAAAGCGGCCGTCGCTCGACCTCTCCCTCGGTGGCTTCTGAGGTCCCCTTCACTGCCAGCCCGGCGTCTCCACAGCTCCCAGATGGCCGCAGAGAGAGAGGTGAGAGAGCAAAGTGGTAGCGTCGCCGGTGCACAGCGATGCTAATGCGTGGCCGCATTGACGGCACGTGTCCTCCATCGTGGCCTCCCCTACCCTCCATGTCGCATCGCCTCTTTTTTTTTGTTTGCTGATGGGATTCCGAATCAAACTGGAAACCGAGAGATCGCGACGGTTCCCATCCAAGCCCTAGCCTGAACTTTAGCACAGTCTCTCACCGGTTGAAGCAATCAGTAGGTGCGGACGCTGGCTCCTTCTGCCTTAGGAACTGAGTATGTAAAGTGCCACCGGATGGCAGCCCAATTATGGCGGCCCCACAGGATTTTCAAAGCAAGAGACAATCAGAGGTGGGTTTGCCACTGTCTGTGTAGCAACCCTGGACTTCTTTGGTGTAGTGGTTTGGTGTAGTGGTTAAGTGCGTGGACTCTAATCTGGGAGAACCGGGTTTGATTCCCCACTCCTCCACTTGCAGCTGCTGGTGTGACCTTGGGTCAGTCACAAGCTCTGGCACAGCTGTCCTTGAAAAAGAGCAGTTTGTGTCAGAGTTCTCTCAGCCCCACCCACCTCACAGGGTGTCTGTTGGGGGGAGGGGAAGGGAAAGGAGTTTGTAAGCCGCTCTGAGACTCCAAGTGAAGGGCGGGGTATAAATCCAATCTCTTCTTCTTCTTCTTCTTCTTCTTCTTCTTCTTCTTCTTCTTCTTCTTCTTCTTCTTCTTCTTCTTCTTCTTCTTCTTCTTCTGTGGTCTCCCATCCAGGTACCAACCGGGGCCGACCCTGCTTAGCTTCTGAGATCTGGTGAGACTGGGCTAGCCCGGGCCCCCCACCTCAGGGACCTTATGAATTATGCCTCCATTCGATCATTGTTTTCTGGCCTACTGCAAACACAAGCAGTCCCCCTCCGCTTATGGGGTGGAGTGGAGTCCCTTGAGGCTCTGCTTTGACTTTCCTTGGCGTAATTCAAATAGTCCAGGAGGAGGAGGAGGAGGAGGCAAGGATTAAAAATTCGCTTATCTTCCCAAATGATGGATAGCTGCTTTTTAGCAGCATTTCAAGCCTGTTGCTTATGGCCCCTGCCAGTTTGGTGTAGTGGTTAAGTGCGCAGACTCTAATCTGGGAGAACCGGGTTTGATTCCCCACTCCTCCACTTGCACCTGGCTGGATGACCTTGGGCAAGCCGTAGTTCTGATAAGAGCTGTTCTTGAAAAAAAGCAGTTTCTGTCAGAGTTCTCTCGGCCCCGCCTACCTCGCAGGGTGTCTGTTGTGGGGAGGGGAAGGGAAAGGAGTTTGTAAGCCGCTCTGGGACACCTTTGGGTAGTGAAGGGCGGGGTATAAATCCAATCTCTTCTTCTTCTTCTTCTGCCCTGAGGGGAGGGCTGGCTTGGGAGAGCAATTTTGCGGTTCTGTCCTTCAATTAAAGCCAACTTTGAGTGCTCTTGGCGATTCCCACCCTTTCGCTTGGCCTTTCTGCCCAGAGTAATGCCCGGCCTTTGGTTTCAGATCCAGAGATTGTCCCTGTGGCTCCACAGTGCAGCAGGAAGGGTCACAAGGAAGGGTCAGAGGAATTCTCTCCTTTGGCACCTCGACATGCCGATCCTTTGGTACCCGCAGTCTCCAGAAGTCCGGACTCGACCACCCCTCCCGTTGCCTCAAAGAAGTTGGTCAGGAAGCCCGATCCCCAGTCCAGCTCCTCGAAATCGGAGTCCGTGCACAACAGTTCCAAATCCTGCGCCACCCCCGAGGTTAGTTGTGGGTGCAGAGAGGGAGTTCCAGCTTTTTGTGGTTGTTGGTGGGATTTTCGCATTTGTGTGTGTGTGTGTGTGTGTGTGTAAGTCATGGTGACCTCTGGCGACACCTACTGGGGCATGGAGGACGTTCAGAGAAGTGGCTTGATAGCCTGCCTCTGCTTCCCGACCACCAGAGGTCTCCCTTCCCTTGAGAGCCAGTTTGGTGTAGTGGTTAAGTGTGCGGACTCTAATCTGGGAGAACCGGGTTTGAGTCCCCACTCCTCCACTTGCACCAGGCTGGATGGCCTTGGGCAAGCCATAGTTCTAACAAGAGCTGTCCTTGAATGGGCAGTTCTTGAAAGAGCTCTCTCAGCCCCACCCACCTCACAGGGTGTCTGTTGTTGGGAGGGGAAGGGACAGGAGTTTGTAAGCCGCTCTGAGACTCCGAGTGAAGGGCGGGGTATAAATCCAATCTCTTCTCTTCGTCGTCTTCTTCTGCTTGCCAGGGTTGGCTCTGCTTAGCTTCCGAGATCTGACGAGATCGGGCTTGCCTGGGCTATCCAGGTCCGGGCAAAGGGGAGTTCCAGCTTTTAAGAGCATTATTGGCATTCCAGGGCCTTCAGCCATACGCAGAGTGCTTTTGCCTTGAGGGGAGCAAATACGTCTGTGGTGGTAGAAGGTGCCATCAGGTCACAGCTAAGTTTCGGCAATCCGCAGCTTTTTCAAGGCAAGAGGCAAACAGAGGTGGGTTTGCCATTGTTGGCCTCTGCGTAGCAACCCTGGGCTTCCTCGGTGGCCTGCCTTCCGAGTACTCACCAGGCCTGCCCTTGCTTAGCTTCTGAGATCTGGAGAGATCAGGCTAGCTGGGCTGTCCAAGTCAGGGCAAATGTCCACATCACTTAATAATATTTTTAAAGATAGGGCAGCTTACCTGAGGCATGCCAAGATCGCCGGGATAAGAGCTGACTCTGCGTTTGACGTGGCCTGGGCCACCCAGAGAAAGGGATGTATGGGTACTAGTGGCACAAGACGTGCACAGAGGGCTTTCTGCTCGCCAGGGAAACCAGCTTCTCTTTTGAAAAACAGCGGATCGAAGGGCCCGAGTCCACGGTACGGCCGCCGCTTGTCGAGTCAGGGGTGGATGACTGGACTCACAGTCAGAATACATTGGTGAGAACTCGCCTTAAGTGGCACCGCTTCGCTTGGTGCTGCCAGGGAGCGCTGCGAGGGGTGAAGGAGCTTCCTGTTTCCCTCCCCATCCCGCTTTCGCCAGCAAAAAGGGGCGGGTGCCTGTTTTCTCTGGCTCCGCATGCCCTAGGAAGGACACGCGGATCCAGAGACAAGGGACAAAAAGCTCCCCCGCTCGCCACCTTACAGCAGTCCTCCGAGGACTCAGGGGGTCTTCCCACCAGCCCCTGCTCTGGTGGGCTACTACATGTTCAGTTTTCCCAGGAAGGGAGCAAAAAGTGGCTGCCTGGGGCTGTTTGAGGTTGGGAAAAATGCCGGGGGGGGGGGGGAGGCTTGAGCCTCCTTTCCCCAGTTCCTGATCTGAACTGAGATTTGTGCACCTGGCAGGGGTCATTTCCTGCAGGAGCGGACAGTAGCGGAGCTCCGGCCGTAAAGAGCCCAGGGGGTGGGCACATGCAACAAGCTCCACCCCCTGCTCCTTCTCTCCCTCTTTCTTTCCATTTCCCTCCTTCTTTCCTTCTATTTCTTTCCTTTTTCTTTCTTTCTTTTCCTCCTTTTTTCTTCTTTTCCCCCTCCTTCTCTCCTTCTTTCCTTCTTTCCCTCCTTCTTTCCTTCTCTCTCTCTCTCTCTCTCTCTCTCTCTCTCTCTCTGCACAGATCTGTGTGACGGCAGATCTGTGCGTCCCCCACCCTCAGCTAGCAATCCAAAGCAGTCCAGTGGCACCTTTAAGACCAAGTTTTATTCAGGTACAAGCTCTCCCTCCTCTGCGAGGGCAGATCTGCATGTCCGTCCCCCCCCCATAGTTAGCAATCCACAACAGTCCAGTGGAGCCTGAGCGGTGGCTGTTGCCTTCTGACACACTTCCGGTGATGTCAGGGGGTGTGGCACATGCAAATGAGTTATGTGAATGAGTTATGCTAATGAGCTCCTGCACCTCTTTTTCTACGAGATGACCCCTGGTCACCTGGCAATAAATTTCTTATGCAACTCCCAGAACTCTTCTGTCTGGAGGACACCCGGCCGGGGACTCTGGGGCTTTGTAACGCCTGAGCCATGGCCCCCTCCCCTGCCTTGGCCAGTGTCGGACCCTTTTGCTGCACCGAGCTCGATATTGCTGCTCTGAGCCACAGCTCTTCCCCCCCACAAGTGGCTGGTCTCCACCTTTCTGTTCCGAAAACTGGCCAGGAGAAGGAAACTGCTGCTAGGCAGAGCAGAAGCTCCAGAGCGAGACAAGAGCGAGCATCCGCCTTAGCCCAAGACTGAGATCCTGTTGCCTCCTCTTGTGAATCAGTTGCCCACTTTTGGCTGAGCCCTTCGGTCTTTCCTCCCCATGCCCTCCTTCAATTTCTGCTGCCTTTCCTTAGTTGGACACGGCCAGCGAGATGGAAGAGCTGGACATCGATAGCGTCTCGCTGATTCCGGAGCTGGAGCACCAGAGTCCAGTGAAGCTCCATGTCTTTCTAGTGCGATACAGGTACAGTAGTCAGGGCCTCATTGGGGCTCATAGACTTTTGTCTTCCCTGTCTCTTGGGGCTGCCATATTGGAGAAGAGCATGTGGTTGCTCCAAATAATTGGCAAGGCTTTGCTTCCCTCCAGGACTTCCTCCATCTCCCCATTCAGGTCTGGGAAGGGATGTTTCTCCCAGGTGGTATTGGCTAGTGACTGTGTAGTAGTTGTCTTTCCCCCACAACATGTGACTTGGCATGTGAAGCTGCCTTGTCTGCGTCCACTTCCTGCTCACTGGTAGTTCTGCGGCCTGGGTTGGTCCAGATGCAAATGGCAGATGGGGGCTGCCCTTACATTCAGCAGGTGGACTTTAGACTGGTTGGCATTTTCACACCTCAGGCCTGATTAACTTGTAGTGTGTGGAGTGGTGACTCGCGCCTGCCCCTAAGACGTCTTAGATGTAATGCCACAGAGTAAATGTTCATGTCATAGCTACCCAACAGTACCACAGAGCATGAGGCTTTTCAAAGGACTCACTTTATAACTTTGACTTCCAGTCCTCAAGTATTGGGCAATGGAAAGGTGAAAAGCCAAGGAATGAGTGCAGCAGGGATGTGTGAACCACCCTTAATGATTCTGTCACACCGTACAGGTAGCTTTTCAGAGGCTGGGGGCTTTTCCAGGTGATATGAACCCCTTTCTCTCTGCTAGTATATCCATCGTTCGCTCCGTCTGCCTCCGGAGACCCAGCTAGCTCTGTTCCTACTTCTCTGATGATAACGGAGGCGCTGTTCTGTTCACTCAGTATGGCTTTACCCTGGGTGATAATCAACAATCCTGGTCAGACTAGAATGTGGGAGACCCAGGTTCGAATCTCCACTTGTGCTATGGAATCTCACTGGGGGACTTGGGACCAGTCACACACTCTCAGCCTAACCTACCTCACAGGGTTGTTGAGAGGATAAAATGGAGGAGAGGAGAAGGCTGTAAGCTGCTTTGGGTCCCTATTGGGGAGAAAGGCAGGTGGGAATGAATGAATTAAATAAATAAGGCGCTTTGCCTGGTATAAGAGCGTCTGCGACTCTTTGGTCTTTCGGTGTCAAATTGGCGGTTCTTGCCTCTGTCTTAGCTACAACCCTTTTGACGGTCCCAACGAGAACCCCGAGGCTGAGCTCCCACTGACGGCTGGCGAGTACATTTATATTTATGGAGAAATGGATGAAGACGGCTTCTTTGAAGGTGTGTGGGACCAAACGGGTCAGTTTAAGTTGCTACGGAGAGCCAGGGTGGTGCAGCGGTTAGAATGTTGAGCTATGATCTGGGAAATCCGGGTTCGAATCCATACTCTGCCAGGTGACCCTGGGCCAGTCGCAACACTCTCACCCTAACCTACCCCACAGGGTTGTTGTGAGGATAAAATGGGGAGGGAGAATGACGTAAGCCACTTTGGGTCCCCGTTTGTGAAGAAAGGCAGGGTAGAAATGAAGTACATAGATTAACAAACTGAAACAAAAACAGAGAGGACCCAATTTGGTTTCAGGAGGTCATGCAATGTTCCCTCTAAGGTGTGGAGTCTTGTGAGCAAAAATTCTACTTTGTGAGTTCCTGGCACTAAAGTTGTGAGTGAGTGATTTGGCTACGGCATAAATTAGTTTGCTATGGAGCCATCCTCCCTGAGCTAAGACAAAAATGTGTGAGCCGGAGGCTAAAAAACTGTGAGCTAGCTCACACTAACTCAGCTTAGAGGGAACACTGGTCATGGGTCAGAAGCGGAGCCTTGGAAACAGCTGGAAGCACCTGGTGCTTTTGATGACCAATTTGAGAAGGGGTGATGCCTGTGGAGATTCAGGACACACTATCATTTACTAGAAGGGGTTTTTTGATGCTACGTAGCAGGGGTCCTCAGTCTTTTCCAGCCCATGAGCACCTTTGGAGGCCTGAGAAGGCACAGTGGGCACAGCGACCACATGGCTGCGACACAGTGACTGCCACGGGAGGTGGAGCCAGCCACAAGACTGGCTGCCACAGCTGACCCTCAGTCACACAGTGAAGATCCTTGTGCTGTGGTGGCAGATGGTGCCAAAGCAACGTATTTAAAAATCTGCGGAGCCGATCAAAACTCCAGTGCTGAATGAGAAACCTTGCTGGACAAAATCCCTGCTTGGTCCTGCTCCCTTTCTAAAAACACTTGGCGGGCACCACATTGGGGACCCCTGCTGTGTAGAGTCAGACCCTTTCAGAGATCTGGATTTTTGTAGAAGTAGTTTTGGAAATCTAACTGAGGGCCTATTCATACATTACAAAGTCCATATGGCAGACACATGGACTTTTAGTCGTTGCGCTCTGAGAACTCTGTCCTGGCTAGGTAAAGGTTCCCTTGCTCGAAAGCCAGTCGAGTCCGACTCTAGGGTTGCGGTGCTCATCTCCGTTTCAAAGCCGAAGAGCCAGCGCTGTCCAAAGACATTTCTGTGGTCATGTGGCCGGCATGACTAACCACCAAGGCGCACCTTCCGCACTGAAGTGGTACCTATTTATCTACTTGCAATTTCTTGCTTTCGAACTGCTAGGTTGGCAGGAGCTGGAACTAGAGACGGGAGCTCACTCCATCATGCGGCACACTCGGGTCTTGAACTGCTGAACTACCGACCTTCCACAGCCTGCAGTTCAGCATCTTAACCACTTGAGCCACTGCAGCTCCAGGTTACCCACTTCTTTATGTGTGCTGGCACTTATATAAACAAATGTGGCTGCTCCCATCATATCCGATTTGGCTCATGGAGGGTCACAGCTGGTTTGATGAAAGGCAATCCTTTGCCAACACAGGGCAGAGGAAACAAAGGTTGATTCCAGTGGCACCTTTAAGACCAACAAAGTTTTATTCAAAGTGTAAGCTTTTGTGTCCAACCACACTTCTTCAGACAAATTGGAATAATAACTCCTCAAGAGCTACTTACAGGAAAAAAATGGGGGTGGGGGGCAGCTGTTAGGAGGGGCCACTCAGAGCCAAGATGCAGACGCAGAGCTGAAATTGGATCAGGTGGCCAGTAAGATCAATGGTTAAGACGCAGTGGTTAAGTCGCTGAACTGCAGGCTGTGGAAGGTCAGTAGTTCAGCAGTTCGAGACCCGGGTTGCCGCATGACGGAGTGAGGTCCCGTCTCTATTTCCAGCTCCTGCCAACCTAGCAGTTCGAAAGCAAGAAATTGCAAGTAGATAAATAGGTACTACTTTGGTGGGAAGGTAACAGCGTTCCATGCGCCTTGGTGTTTAGTCATGACCACGGAAACGTCTTCGGACACCGCTGGCTCTTCGGCTTTGAAACGGAGATGAGCACCGCAACCCTAGAGTCGGATTTGACTGGCTTTCGAGCAAGGGAACCTTTACCTTTAAGATCAATGGATAGCAGCAAATTAGCACGTAAATGCAGGAGTTAACAAAGAGATGTGAGAGTGAAGCTAGAGTCCAGCAGTACCCCCAGGGGGAACGGATACATTTTGGAGTTTCACCAGATTCAGGTGGAAGGTGAAAGCAGCCAACAGGTTTGCAGGTGACATTTACATAGCTGATAATGAGCTGTTTTAAGGAGATGGAAATATTTTGTGTTGTCTTGAAGTTAAACGACGGTTCTTTTGCAGATGTTTTGTAACCTGATGGTTGGAGGAGGAGGGAGAGTAGTTTGTCCTGAAAGCCCAGGTCAGGGGGGTCTCCAACATGGTGCCCATGGGCACCATGGTGCCCCCCACACACACCTTTCCTGGCGACTGCCAAGTACTTTTAGAAAGTGGACAGGGTCAAATTGTGCTTTCCCCACCAAGGCCATTGGAGATTTGGTTGGCTTTTAAAAATATTGCTTTAACAGCAGCTGCCGCCACATCATAAGGATCTTCACTGTGCAATTGAAGGGCAAGCTGTGGCAGCCATTTTGTCACTGGCTCTGCCTCCTGTGGCAGCCATTTTGTGGCTGTGCCCACCATAGGCTTGCCAAGTCCCCCCGGGGGGCGGGGAAAACCCCGCCCCAGAGGCCCGTTCTCCACCGCCGGCAGATCGGGCCCCGGGGGGAGCCCCACCCTGACGTGCGCGTCACCAGGAAGTGACGTTAGGACGCCGGGCACGCTGGGGGTGGGGCCATGACCATCGGAGGGAAAACTCTATGGTAGCCGCCTGGGAGTCCCCCGCTGCGGCTGAGAAACCACTTGGCAACCCTAGCCCACCATGTTGTGTCAGAATTCCAGCGGTGCCCTCAGGCTCAAAAAAGTTGGGGACCCCTGGCCTAAGTGTTTAAATAAATAAATTAAAATGCTCACAATCTTCTCTCGTGACCTTCAGGAGAGCTGATGGATGGCCGGAGAGGCCTGGTCCCTTCCAACTTTGTGGAACGCGTCTCAGACGAAGACCTGGTCACCTTCCTGCCTCAGGAGCTCAACGACCTGTCTCAAAGTTCCCCCCTCGAGCGAAGTTTCCTCAGCACAAGCATCAGCAGCGGGGAGAGAAGCAATTATTCGGCTGAGGAGCTCAGCGCCAGCACAGCGCCGTCCAGACTAGAAGGGGACCGGGAAGAGCTTGGCGATCCCACGGCAGTGCCTTACCCCAGGAAGGTGACGCTCATCAAACAGTTCGGCAGCTGCATCCTGGTTGGCTGGGAGCCTCCCCTTCTGCCCGCCGGCTGCCCAAATGTCCAAGGCTACAACGTCTACGTAGACACAGAGCTTTGGCAAAGCACGAAGGCCGGGTCCCCAACGAAAGCCATGCTGGAGAAGCTGGACTTGAAGTCAAAAGTCTACCGCATCTCGGTGCAAAGCGTCTCGGAGAAAGGGAGCTCAGATCAGCTGCGGTGCACGTTTCTGGTGGGGCACGGCGCCACCTGGGCCCCCGCGCAGCTCCAGATATGGAATCTCGCGGCCACCTCGGCAGAGATCTCCTGGCTGCCGAGCAACAGCAACTTCTTGCACGCCATATCCCTCAACGGGGAAGAGCGCGACACAACAAAGGCGGGGGTCTACTGGTACGCCTTCCGCAATTTGAACCCGAGCACTTCCTACGTTGCCAGGGTGGAGGTCCAGCTTCCGGGAGCTCTCTGGGAACTGACTCAAGAGAGGCAGGAACAGCCATTGTGGGCAGAGATCCACTTCGTAACGACTTCAGCGGGTGAGTCTCAGGAAGGAACAAAAGCAAGATGGGTAAATGGCCTTTGGTTTGGCGAGTAGGAATCACTTCTGGGAGTCCAGGCAGGGGAGTACTACAGAAAGTTATGTTAAGGCCGGGAATAGCTGACCTCACACAGAACTAGATTTCTCTCCGAACGTTCCTGGATACTGCACTGTCATCAGCAAACCCCTTGCATATGACTGCTGCAGCCAATGATGTACTTTGCCTAGATCTTCACAAAAGACACGAGACTGCTGTTGAAATCTGCATCTCCCATGTCAGATTCTCCCCCACCCATATAATGCATCTTGTCACATGTCATGTGGTGTTTTTACATTTGTTTGTGGGTTGGGGGGGGGGGGGGGGCTGTCATTGGCAACCAGTAATGTGGAGTGAGGTTTGTGGGATAGGGACTGTAATGGCACCATGGGGGCAGATTCCATTGGACATCGCAGAGGGGAAGGGGGAACCAGGTGCAGGGTTGCGGAACGATTATACATGGATTATACTGTTTAGTGCATTGCCAACCAGTTTAGTGGGCTATTTTTGGGCAGGAACGCACAGGAACGGAGTTCCGGCTGGCTCCTGAGTTGGCCACGCCCAGCAGGAACTCATTAGGATAATAGGCCACACCCAACAGCAGAAATTCATTAGGATTGGCTACATTAGGGGTGTGTGGCCTAACATGCAAAGGAGTTCCTGCTACAAAAAAAGCCCTGGGTTTTGACAACAAACAAGGTAAACAGAATAACAAGCAAAAGGTGGGTGTGGCTGGATAACCACACTTCTGGTAACATGGGGGTGCAGCCTAATGTGGTAATGAGCTGTGCTGTCAGAGGTGTGGCCCAGTATGCTAATGAGTTCCTGCTATTGGGTGTGGCCTATTATGCTAATGAGTTCCTGCTGGGCTTTTTCTACAAAAAGAGCCCTGGTATGCCCATAATTAGGTGAGGGCAGGTAAGGCTAGCAATGTACCTCTGGACCTAGAGCAGGGGCCCCTGGGGGAATGGCTGGGGAAGGTAGCTGTGAATTTCCTGTATAGTACAGGGCGGTTGGACTAGATGCCCCTTGGGGGATCCCGCCCAGCTCTGTGTTTCTATGTCTGACATACTGATAACTGTGATGAAAACAGCCGTGATACAGTATTATGAAAATATATTTGGACTGCTGTTTTGCAGTGAGTAGTATTTCTTCAACAAGTAGTAAAGATGTATGCATACACAGAACGGGATTTGCATATGCTACCATTTCACATGACCGCTTTTTCTAAGTGTGCTGCGTGAGTAACATTAGTTTACATGTCAACGATTCTAATCCGTGAAATTAACACTCCACATTTTTCCCACTTCAATGAAACAGTGAAGTATATGCAAGTATATGCAGATTCCGTTGTCATGTCTTGTTGCATGTGCCCACCCCCCTGAGCTCCTTACTGCCGGAGCTCTGCTCCTGTGCGATCCTGCAGGAAATGACCCCTGGGCCAGTCACAGTTCTCTCAGAACTATCTCAGCCCTGCCTACCTCACAAGGTGCCTGTTGTGGGTAGGGGAAGGGAATGCGGGATTGTGAGCCATTCTGAGCTTAGGGTAAAGAAATCCCTGACCTGGATAGCCCAGGCTAGCTCGACCTCCTCAGATCTGGGAAGCTAAACAGGGTTGGCCCTGGCTAGTATTTGGATGGGAGACTTCCAAGGACTACCAGGGCCATGACGTGGAGGCAGGCCATAGCAAACTGCCTCTGCACATCTCTTGCCTTGGAAACCCCATGGGGGTCGCCCTAAGTCAGCCGTGACTTGACAGCACTTTCTACCACCAAGGTAGAGAAAGGTAAAGGTAAAGGTTCCCTTGCTCGAAAGCCAGTCAAATCCGACTCCAGGGTTGCGGTGCTCATCTCCGTTTCAAAGCCGAAGAGCCAGCGCTGTCTGAAGATGTTTCCGTGGCCATGTGGCCGGCATGACTGAACACCAAGGCGCACGGAACGCTGTTACCTTCCCACTGAAGTGGTACCTATTTATCTACTTGCAATTTCTTGCTTTCGAACGGCTAGGTTGGCAGGAAAGGTAGAGAAAAGCTGGGTACAAAACCCCCTTTTCCTCCTTCTCTTTCCTTAGGGTCTCCAGATGCCCCGCTGGACGTCCGAGTGGAACCGGGTCCCTCCGCTGGGATTCTGGCCATCAGCTGGTTGCCAGTCACCATTGATGCGGAAGGATCATCCAATGGGGTGCGAGTCACTGGCTATGCCGTGTATGCCGACAGACAGAAGGTACCCAACGTACACAGGCTGTGGGAAATGAGAGGGAGTGCATATCATGGGGCTTTTTTAAAAATTAAAATTATTTTTATAACAGATGCAAATATCAAACAGAAAATAAAAATAATGACGATAGTGGCAAGTCTACACAAATGCATCTGCAAAAGGTTTCCAGATATCTAAGAATATATTTTTTCTTTTTCAAATGTACTCATGATGGTGGATCTGCGCGTTTCTATAAACGGTTTCCAAATATCCAAAAATAAGTCCGTGCACAATTACCCTCTATATGCCATGCAGTCAAATATTGATAGAGTTCTAAGGTCGTCAGTCCATTGATTTACCAGCAGCGGGCTTTTATCTTTCCAGTGTTGCTCAACGAGTCTTTTCACTGCTGTAAAGGCACAGAGGGCCCATTTCCATCGACCACTGGTTAGCCTCCAAGAGACAGGCAGATACTTTAAAAGTACACATGCGTCTCAAAAATCAATGAACAATCAATCTAAAAATATGTCCATACATAATTTTTGTTTATGTTCTGTATGTTGGTGATGACCAGGGCTAGGGCGTTTTCGGTGGCGGCTCCTATCTGGTGGAATGAGCTCCCAGGGGAGATCCGAGCCCTGCGGGACCTTGTACAGTTCCGCAGGGCCTGTAAGACGGAGCTCTTCCGCCAGGCTTTCGAATAGGAGTCGCCACCACCACTGTTCCATCAACGCCCTATACTCTCCGCACACTGCCACCGCCGGTGCGGGTTCCATCGGAGGGAGCGGGACATGCTTAGGGGACAACGTGGCAGGGGGGGAAATGCACTGCTGTTGCTGTATAGCTACACGACTGAGAACACCATCTTGATTGTAAAATTTGGAATTGAGTAGGGGAGCACCAAACTGTTTTATGAATTTAGTTAATTATTTAACTGTTTTTGTATTTCTGTGTATTTTATACTGGTTTTATTGTTATTATTGGGCGTATGCCCCTGTTAGCCGCCCTGAGCCTCCGGGGAGGGCGGGATATAAGTTTAAATAAATAAATAAATGTTCAAATGGTAATACAGTTGTGAGGTCCTCAATCCAGTGGATTACAGGAGGTGGGCGTTTGCCTCTCCAGGGACGTAGCATAAGTCGTTTAGCTACAGTAAGAGCACAGAGGGTCCATTTCCATTGGCCATCAGTTAGCCCCCAGGAGACGGGCAAATAGTTCTCAAAAGTACGTAAAACATCCTCAGAGATCAATGAATGTTCAAACGCAAAACTGACATGAGCAATTATTTCTTCCCCAAAACACCAAATAACTGGACAAAGCAAGGATCAGAGCCAGTGTCAACATGCCCTGAAGGGGAGCGGCTTGCAGGGCCCTTGGGCTTTGGCGGGGCCCGCTGCCGCTGACTCCCTTCTTGCATATCTCCTCCGATGCCTGCGCTCACCCACTGCCTGCTCAGGAGTGCTTCGGCACCTCCGCTGCCAGCTGTGTGTGCTGCCTAGCACTGCTGGAGAAGGGGATGCGGGTGGTGCACAAAGCATCGGCGTTCTCGGTGGCCGTGGGAGTGGCACTCGTAGTGGCACCCGCCAGCCAGCATCCTTGGGGAAAGGGTGTGCAGGCAGTGTGGGCAGCTGTGACCGCAGGGAGCGGGTGGGCCTGCAAGTGAGCAGGAGGAGGGTGCACCAGGGAGTGGGGACACGGAGGTGGGTGGGCAAGAAGTGGTGCCTAGGAGTGGGCCTAGGAGTGGGCCTAGGGGGTCCCTGGATACTCTTCGCACAGGGCTTCCCAAAACCTGGAACTGGCCCTGGAAAGGAGTGGCTATCACCAGGGCTATTTTAGGGCATGAACGCACAGGAACGGAGTTCCGGCTGGCTCCCGAGTTGGCCACACCCAGCAGGAACTCATTAACATAACAGGCCACACCCAACAGCAGAAACTCATTAGGATTGGCTACATTAGGGGTATCTGGCCTAACATGCAAAGGGTTCCTGCTACAAAAAAAGCCCTGGGTTTTGACAACAAGGTAAACAAAATAAGAAGCAAAAGTTGGGTGTGGCTGGATGACCACACTTCTGGCAACATGGGGGGTGGCCTAATAATATGATGTGCTATCAGGGGCGTGGCCTAATATGCTAATGAGTTTCTGCTGTTGGGTGTGGCCTATTATGCTAATGAGTTCCTGCTGGGCTTTTTCTGCAAAAAAAGCCATGGCTATCACGTGTGACCCTTCCAAGAGGGACGCAGCCCACCAGGAATGACAACCCAACGCCAGAGAAGCCCAGTTATCTTGGCTGTGTCTGTTAACCACACCGCAGGGGGGAAAAAAGAACCATTCAGTTCTCAGCCCTTGCTCCGAGATAAAAAAAGTTCAGGTCCAAGATTGGCCTGTCTACATTATTCATTTACAGAAAATAGCAGCACTTGTATACCAAAGTGAAGGTAAAAGCATTACCTTGATTTTTCTTTCCCTCTGCCCAAGCCCACGCTTCTCTTGAAACCCATGGCAATGTCCTTGGTGCTCTGAAGAGCAAAAGCTCTCATAACAGTCATAATAGAAGAGTGGCGTTGTCGTCAACCCAACAGCAAAGAGACCATGAAAATCACTCCAGAGTGTTCTCAAGGGGAGAACCGCCCCACCCGAAGGTTACCAGGCACCCAAGGCATTGCGCGCGCGTGTGTGTTAAATGCCGTCAGGCCGCTTCCAACTTATGGCAGCTTTATGAATTAATGTCCTCCAAAACGTCTTATCAGCCGTGCTCAGGTCTTGCAAACTGAGGGCCCGGGCTTCTTTTATTGAGTCCATCCATCTCCTGTCGGCAGGGCTTTTTTTGTAGAAAAAGGCCAGCAGGAACTCATTAGCATAACAGGCCACACCCAACAGCAGGAACTCATTAGCATATTAGGCCACACCCCTGATAGCACAGCTCATTGGCATATTAGGCCACACACCCCCATGTTACCAGAAGTGTGGTCATCCAGCCACACCCACCTTTTGCTTCTTATTCTGTTTACTTTGTTGTCAAAACCCTGGGCTTTTTTGTAGCAGGAACTCCTTTGCATGTTAGGCCACACCCCATAATGTAGCCAGTCCTAATGAGTTTCTGCTGTTAGGTGTGGCCTATTATGCTAATGAGTTCCTGCTGGGTGTGGCCAACTCAGGAGCCAGCCGGAACTCTGTTCCTGTGCGTTCCTGGCCAAAAATAGCCCTGCCTGTCGGGTCTTCCTCTTTTCCTGCTGCCTTCAACGTTTCCTGGCATTATTGCCTTTTCCAGTGACTCTTGTCTTCTCAGAATGTGACCAAAGTAGGATTTCCTCAGGATTGGCTCAGTCAAGGAAGCAACAAAGGCCCTCAGTTTGCAAGACCCTGAGCAGGGCTGTTAACGACAGGACGTTTTGGAGGTCATTAATTCCATAAAGTTGCCATAAGTCAGAAGTGACTTGCTATCATTTAACACACCTACACCCAGTGTCTGTATGAACCACAGCGAGTCCATAACGGGGTGGGTGGGTGAGTGTCACGATACAATTGGATAAGTGTCATATCGTGCCAAACGGATGCTAAATAATAAAGAGTATTGCAATAAAATGTATAAAGTCTTTCTAAAAGGTGATAACCACATATAGTAATTATTTTCACTACAAGCAATGGTGTTATAGAGAAAGAGAATTACTCCATAAGGTATCGTAACTCAATTCTGTGTAGTAATCAAATCGAGTTGTGATTCCTTGATTATAGTGATTCTCTTTCTGTATAACAGCATTGCTTGTATATATAAATGTTATTATAATACTCTTTCTTGTTTAGTGTAAGTTTGGCACAATATTACACTTATTGCATTCACCATTGTTCAGTCGCACAGTCGAGTCCGACTCTTCTCTACCCCATGGACCAGATCCCGTCAGGCCTTCCTGTCTTCCGCTGTCCTCTGAAGTTGGCTCAATTTCATGTTCGTTGCATCTGTGACACTGTCTAACCATCTCATCCTTTGCCATCCCCGTCTTCTTTGACCTTCAATCTTTCCCAGCATCAGGGTCTTCTCCAGTGAGTTCTCCCTTCTCATTTGGTGGCCAAAGTATTTGAGCTTCAGTTTCATTATCTGGCCTTCCAGGGAACAGTCAGGGTTCACCGTAGGCCTCCCTAAAGGGACAGAGTACAGCAGGTCCCTTTGGAGAGAGAATTTCCGAACCCTTGATTTCTAAGGTTAAAGCCAAGTGAATGAACACCTTGGTCATGAATTTCTTTCAGGGGTGATTTTATGTTCCGTCTCTGGCTCCTTGCTGCAGGTGATGGAAGTTACCTCCCCAACAGCTGGCAGTGTCTTGGTAGACGTTTCTCAGCTGCAGATCCTCCAGGTGTGCCGGGAGGTGTCTGTAAGGACCGTGTCACTTTACGGAGAGTCAGCAGATTCGGTACCCGCTCAGATCCCGTCGGCCTTGTTAGGAGATGTTGGCCGGTCCTCTCCATCCATGGCCACCTGTCTCACCTCTCAGCTTCCACGTGGGGAGAACGAGGCTCCTCTCACCCCGCAGACCTCCCAGGAACACCGTGCAGACCCTTCTTCCAGTGCTGATAATCCTGTTGCCAAATTCACCTCCCAGCCTAAAGCCGACAGTGAGGATTCCGTGAATTCTCCAGTCGCGGAGACGTCCCCAAGCAGGCGTTCCGTTCCCACCAGGCTGCCTTCGACTCACATTCCGCAGGCACCAACGAGAGAATCGGGAACCACGCCAGGAGAAGAAGGGGAGTCCCTTGTGCCATCTGTAAAAAGCGTAGCAGCAGAATATCCAGCTAAGCCCAGGAAGGAACCTGGAGAAGACAACCAGGTAGGCACGATGGCTGCGTGGGAATCGGGACTGCTGTTTGGGTGAAGCCAAAGAAGAGGGGAAGGGTCGTAAAGGAGGAGATGTAGTCATGGCAAAAGCTGGAAAGAAAATATCACTAAAATGTTTTACAGATGGTACTGGCCGCCGGAAAAAATAGCAAAGTGCTATGCAAATACATCTAACAAATGCTGGAAATGTAAGACTAATATAGGTTCATTTTATCATATGTGGTGGCAGTGTGAAAAAATTCAAAAATATTGGGAGAAAATACAAAGAATAATTTGGGAAATTATGGATATTTATTTAGCACTAGATCCAGAAATATACTTGTTGAATATGATACTGGAAAGCCTCAGTTGTGTTGATACTAAATTAGCAACACTTATAATAACGTCGGCGAGAATACTACTGGCCAAATATTGGAAAGCAGGAAAAACGCCCAGTAGGGAAGAGATAAGTTCAAAATTGTTAAATTTAGCAGAAATGGATAAGTTAAGCTTGTTAATTCAAGGGAAAGGGGAAAACTTCTTTTTGAAAAAATGGTCGAGATTATATAACTGGATAAACAATACTAATTAATAACAGACTCAATGTAAAGTGTTTATTGATTGATAGCCCCAGTCACACGGGAGGTTTAGGGCCGGAAGAGGGACAGATCGGGGCCACAGCAAACGGGCGCGATCCCACCGCAACATCTGGGAAGCGTTGCGCACCTGTCCCCGATCCGGCCCTTCAGGCTGAAAATCCGTACTTAAAATAAACCACCTACAGAGGTGGCCTTACCAGAAAGGCCGCATCGAGCGCAGCCGTGGGATCGCTGGCGCGTCCTTCTGCCAGCGCATCCGAGGCTCCTGGCCGAACTGCGCATGCGCACTCATGCGCAGTCAGCTGTCTCGGTCTTCGCTCGGTGGCTTCCTCCCCGGCATCTGATCGTGCCGGGGAGCAACGGCGCGGCGGCTCAGGGGATCTATGTGATCCCGCCGCTGCGTGTTTCTTTTGGTGCGGCTCTGAATAGCCGCACTTTGCCCGTATTTTTTTCTGCCGTGTGGCAGAGGCCGATAATGCATTTACATGTTATGTATAACAAAAATATATAAATAAATATTTTTTAAAAAAGAAAGCGGCAGTGTGGTATAGCAACTAGAAGAGGTGCTGAACTCGAGTCTGTGGGAACATACGAAGGAACGCTATGCAGAGTAAGTCTGCTGGTCCACCTCCCAGGGATGCTCCAGGGTCTCAGGCAGGGGAGGGCCGGTCCTGCTACCAGAGCTCTCTCAGCCGGAGATGCGAAAGACTGAGCCTGGTGCTCTTTGCACGCAAAGCAGGCGCTTCTCCAGTGAGCCACCGCAGCCCCTCCACACGGTATAGTTCCAATTTTAGTACATGTGCTGCCGAAGTATAAACGTGAGCATGTGACGCTGTCCTTTGCCGAGTCAGGCCGCGGGGCCGCCTAGCCCAATGCTGCCTCCTCGGAGCGGCGTTTGCTCTCCAAGGCCTGAGGCACAGGTCTTTCCCAGCCCCTTTCCCCATCTCCGTGCCAGCAGGGCAGATGAGGCCAGCTTTTCTGTGGGTGGGAAAGGGAGGACGGGGTCCCCATCGGCCACCCCAAAAAAGGTATTGCTGGGCGTCACGGGACCAGCGTGGACCGCAGCCGTGTGAGAAGCAAAGAGCTGCAGGATGCAGGCAGGTTAGGCGAGATCGAGTGGGAAAGCCGGTTTGCTCCATCCCAGTGTTTTTGTTGGTGTTTATTGGATATTATTTATTATTAACGTTACTCGTTTCAGAGGGTGGCCGTCGACCTGCAGTAGGAAACCCAGATTGGAGTCCAGCAGCATCTTAGAGACCAGCCAGGTTTTCCAGGGCAGGAGCCTATGAGAGGCCAAGCTCTAATGAAGGGAGCGGATGACCCGGAAATCTTGCTGGTTAAGGTCCTCCTGGACTCGGATCTGTTGTCGTTGCTATCAATGTTCCCTCTAAGCTGTGGAGTCTTGTGAGCAAAAATTCTACTTTGTGAGCGACTGGCATGAAAGTGGTGAGCGAGTGATTTGGCTACTGCGTCAATTAGTTTGCTCTGGAGCCATCCCTTCCTGAGCTAAGACTAAAATGTGTGAGCTGGAGGCCAAAAAACTGTGAGCTGGCTCGCACTGACTCAGCTTAAAGGGAACACTGGTTGCTATTAGTTCTCCAGACTTCTTTTAGGATCCTCACAAAGCCTTCAGAAGTCAGGTCGTCGACCCCCAAGGTGGCGGCTGGCGATCTCCTGCTATTACAACTGATCTCCCGGTGACAGGGTTCAGTTCACCTGGAGAAAATGGCCACGTTGGAAGGTGGACTCTGTGGCGTTATACCCTATTGAAGTCCCACCCCTCCGCAAACCCCACACTCCTCAGGCTGCACCCCCAAAACTAGAGATGTGAAGGCCCGGAAGAAACCCGGAAAAATTCGGGGGGAAACCCGGTTTTTTTCCCGTTTTTTTCCTGAAGCCTTTTTGTTTTTTCCCGAAAAATTGGAAAAATTGAAAAAAGAAAAGAAAAGAAAAGAAATTGATTATGGAACATTTTATTTTAACATGATGAATAAAATATTTTAAGACAAGGTGTTCAAATATTTTCCAAATCATTTCTAAAATATATATATATGGTATCAGATTGATCTAATTTCTGTGCACTGAGGGACAAGCAAATCCTAGGTTACAAACTGAACCCTCCAATGCAAGAAGAAGATGCATTTCTTCCTTTAGGAGGTGCGATTGTCAGAAGAAAATAAAAACGTTTCAGTTTTGTTTTTGCATGTGGGTGGGTACTCTGTTTGTAATAATTGTTTGGATACACTATATTTTTAATATGCTAGTTGTGATCATTTCATGCCAAGTAAAAATGTCCATAGTCATATTTTATGTTCCTAAAGTAACAGAATGACTTTCAATCTAGAAAAGACAAAAGAAATGCTAATGTAGCATTTTTTTCAATTTTTCCAAAAATTTCCGTTTCCCCCCGAAAAATACATAAAAAACCCGGGGTTTTTTCCAAGCTTCAAAATTTCCGGAAATTTTACATCTCTACCCAAAACCTCTAGGTATCTCCCAACCTGTAGCCGGCAACCCTATTCAAAGGCAAGATGGTTCATAAACTCCAGCTAGCTTCAGCCTGCAATCAGTTCTGTTACCATACCATCAGTAGTGTGGGGTTTATCTCACGGTTGCAATGGTTCCCTTCCCAGGAGCACCTCCTTGTAGCCGGAGAACTGAAGCCAGAGAGGCCAGGCAGTGGCGCCGGCAACCTGGAGGCCTGCAAAGCCTGCTCTGTAGAACAAGGGTCAAAAGAGACGTCACTTGAAAGTGGGCCTGAAGACCCTCCGAGCTGCCTGAGCTCCAAGGTGCCGGGCCCCGGCGAACACGCCACGCAGAGAGAGGATCGCTCCGGAGACGTGGGCCAAAGTGACAAGCAAGGCTCGGAACTCTCCTCCGGGACTTTGGGGAGGAAGCTGTTGAAAGAAATCTCCAGGGACGACCCCACACTGACCGTGCCTCGGGTCAGAAGAGAGGTCTGTGTTGCGTTATTGATTTGGGTGATCTGTTTATGGGTCGGGTTCACACACGCTTGAACCTCGTTTGGTGGCTCTCCAATGACTGTGTGAATGAGACTCCTTAGCATTTTTAACGGCACTGTAGCATTTTCATGTGTTCCAAATGCTACACATGTCTTAGCTCATAATCCTTACAAGGACCCTGTAAGGTCAAAGAGTATTTGAGTCACTTTACACATTCACTTATATTGTGGTTAGCACCCCACACCCACCCACTCACCCTTCCTTCCTTCCTTCCTTCCTTCCTTCCTCTGCCTTTCTCGCGTGGACTCCAGGCAGGTTATAGCACAGTGAGTCAGTACCATGGACAGGACGGGACATTCTGTGAACAATGCAATAGGAATTAATAGGAGAGCCAGTTTGGTGTAGTGGTTAACCGGGTTTGATTCCCGGGTTTGATTCCCCACTCCTCCACTTGTACCTGGCTGGATGACCTTGGGCAAGCCATAATTCTGGCACAGCTGTTCTTGAAAAAGAGCAGTTTTTGTCAGAGCTCTCTCAGCCCCACCTACCTCACAGGGTGTCTGTTGTGGGGAGGGGTGAAGGGAAAGGAGTGTGTAAGCCACTCTGAGACTCTCTTGGGTAGTGAAGGGCAGGGTATAAATCCAATCTCTTCTTCTTCTTCTTCTTTTACCTCATAGGGTGTCTGTTGTGGGGAGGGGAAGGGAAAGGAGTTTGTGAGCCGCTCTGAGACTCCCTTGGGTGGTGAAGGGCAGGGTAGAAATCCAATCTCCTCTTCTTCATTAAGGTTGTTGAACCAACCAGGAGTCTAAAAACAGAACTGAGGCAAACATCAGTCTTAACATGGCATTAAATGATGCATAAATTACATAGCAGAAACCTCGTTGCAGCAAGCTAAACACAGTAGTCTAGACCACAGTCCCCAATAATTTATCCAAGACACTCTGTGAGCAATGCTCCCTCTAAGCTGCAGAGTCTTGTGAGCAAAAATTCTATTTTGCGAGCTACTGGCATTACAGTTGTAAGCGAGTCATTTGGCTACTGCATCAATTTGTTTGCTCCGCAGCCATCCTTCCTGACCTAAGACAAAAATGTGTGAACCTGAGGCTAAAAAAACTGTGAGGTAGCTCACACTAACTGAGCTTAGAGGGAACACTGTCTGTGAGACATTTTGTGCAATGCGACTCTGTTCCCTGCATAGAAAAACCCTCTTGAACAATTCAGTTTTGCATAGCTTGTGGAAAGACAAGAGAGTGGGAGCCTTGTGGGTTGTGACTCAGTGGGAGAGCACCTGCTTGGCATGCAGAAGGTCCCAGGCTCAATCCCCAGCATCTCCAGTGAAAAAGCTCAGGTAGGAGGTGATCTAGCCTGAGACCCTGGAGAGCTGCTGCCCGTCTGAGTAGTCAAGACAGAGCTTGATGGACCAGGGGTCTGATAAGGCAGCTTCTCCCGTGAGGTACAGCCGCTACTTTTTGGGAGATATCTTGAGATTTCATGGTGGCTAAGTTGTTTTTTTTGCTCTCAGCCTAACTTACTTCACAGGGTTGTTGTGAAGGTAAAATGGAGGTTGTTGTTGTTGTTCAGTCGCACAGTCGAGTCCGACTCTTCGCAGCCCCATGGACCAGGTCACGCCAGGCCTTCTGGTCTTCCGCCGTCCTCTGAAGTTTGCTCAGTTTCATGTTCATTGCATCTATGACACTGTCTAACCATCTCATCCTTTGCCGTCCCCGTCTTCTTTGACCTTCAGTCTTTCCCAGCATCAGGGTCTTCTCCAGTGAGTGCTCCCTTCTCATTTGGTGGCCAAAGTATTTGAGCTTCAGTTTCATTGTCTGGCCTTCCAGGGAACAGTCAGGGTTGATTTCTTTTAGGATTGACTGATTTGATCTTCTTGTAGTCCAAGGGACTCTCAAGAGTCTTCTCCAGCACCATAGTTCAAAAGAATCTATTAACACTATATGAAGAAAATACATTAATAAATGCTTTGTTGTGTTCCCGTTGAGACTTTGCCAGTGGAAGGGCAGAAGCGTCAGCAACTGCCCAGTTCTGCTTCCTCCGCTTTCACCAGAAGCTGCAATGCGACCACAGAGGGCAGCATCAGCAAGGCTATTTGTTTTCATAACTTTTTTTTGGCGGTTCGGGAAAAGATGTCCAAAATCTTCCAATCCAACAGAAACGATGGTTGGTAAAGAATAAACAATGCTATACCACATAGATCTGATGCCTCCCACAAATCCCATCCCATGTGTGACTTTTAAATTTTAAACCGGCCGCATCCAAACAACTCACTGTTGAACAACTCTTACTGTTAAAAAGTTTTTCCTGATATCTAGGCGGTACCTTCCCGCCCTTAATTTAAACTGCAATAATGGGTTTAAATTAAGGCCGGGAAGGTACCGGCTGGATCTTAGGGGAAACCTTTTTACAGAGAGAGTTGTACAACAGTGGAATCAGCTGCCCAGGGAGGTGGTGAGCTCCCCCTCCCTGGCAGTCTTTAAGCAGCGGCTGGAGAAACCCTTGTCAGGGATGATCTCAGCTGATCCTGTATGGCCCCTTCCAACTCTGTGGTTCTACGATTCTATGATTTTGCATTCAGATAGCATCTCATTTAAACTGTGCTGCTACCTACTACAGTGACATACTCGAAAGAGTTGCAAAGAAGTCTAAACTTTCCTGTTTTATGGGAGGACCTTTCACTTTTGTTCTTTAAAACTCAAAACTGGAACACATTTCTTATATTTGTTTTGGCTTTCAGGCAAATGGTATCTTGCTTACCCTTGTCATTAACAGGGAATATGCTTTTTAATTTCTCCACCAGGGAGAAAAAAGACTGGAGCCGGGAAATCGTCCGCTAAATCTCCTTACTGACCACAGCCGAGGATCCGACCTCTCTGACATTATGGAGGAAGAGGAGGAGGAGGAAGAGGAGGAGGAAGAAGAGAACCGGCAGGCAAGCAGGCAAGGGGAGTCAAAATGGGATCCAGTGGAACACTACAGCAGAGAAAATGGAGAGAAGGTACCTATTGTCATTGCTACCCTAGTTGTAGTACTGATGGCAAAACTGCTTGTTATAGCAGCCAGTCACAGCATGTGGGCCGGTGATAGTGTGGTGCAGTCGTCAGAGCATCAGCCTAGGATTCAGGAGACCTAGGTTCGAATCCCCACGCCACCAAGGCAGTTTGCTGGGTGACATTGGACCAGTCATGCACCCTCAGCCAAGCCTACTTCGCAAGGTTGTTGGTATGAGGATAAAATAGAGAAGCAAATGATTTGAGCTGCTTTGGATCCCCACTGGGGAGAAAGGCGGGGCATAAATGCAGTAAATAAAATAAAAATAATAAAAAAGGAAGACCCAGGATGTCCCAAAGGGCGATGTCTGAGTGGCAGAGTACCTGCTTTGCGTGGGGAGGGGCCCTGGTTCAGCCCTCTGTATCTCCTGTTCAAAAGCAATCTCAGGTAGCGGAGGTTCCGGAAGATTCCGCTCTGCCGGAGTGCTTCAGCCGGTCAGAGGAGATAGTGCAGGGGTGGATGGACCAAGGGTCTGACTCAGTGGAAAGCGGCTTCATCCAGTGTATTTTTAAAAAACTTTTAAAAGCCCCCACTGCGTGTGTGTCTTGATTTGGATCTGGGCTGGGCCTGGGCGTCTAGGGGAGGGGGATTCTTTAGTAGAAATCCCCCCCTCCCCAAGCTTTTTCTAGCCCCAGTGGAAACTAAGACAGACTCCTGCATGGGACCTCTCTCGTTTCCCTACGAAGGCCAACAGTAATCCCTGCGCGCGAGGGAGTCTTCTCACATGCATACTGTGAAAATGGCACAGGGTACCTATGGAAGGGCTAGCCTAGGGGTCCTCAGCATGGTGGCCATGGGGGCTGTAGTGCCCCCCGACACCTTTCCTGGAGCCCACCAAGTGTTTTTAGAAAGGGGGGGCAGGGGCAATGCTCCCTCTAAGCAGCGGAGTCTTGCGAGCAAAAATTCTACTTTGTGAGCTGCTGGCATTGAAGTTGTGAGCGAGCGATTTGGCTGCTGCATAAATCAGCTTGCTCCGGAGCCCTCCTTCCTGAGCTGAGACAAAGGTGTGTGAGCCAGAGGCTACGAAACTGTGAGCTAACTCACACTCACTCAGCTTAGAGGGAACTCTGGCCAGGAGGGGCTTTTGTCCAGCAGGGCTTTTGATTGGCTCTGCAGAACATTGCTTTCACAGCAGCTGCTGCCACAGCACAAGGATCTTCACCGTGTGACTGAAGTAAGTGGCGGCAGCTGCATCCTGCGATAGCTATTTTACGGCAGCCATTTTGCAGCTGGGCCTCCCAAGCGGCGTCAGACTTCCAAAGGTGCCCGCTTCCTTGACTAGGTCAGGGACCCCTGAGTTAACCCACCATCCTCTAGCCCCGCAGCCTTATTGAACCACCCCCCCACCCCCACCCCAGCTTGCACAGCTGCTTTTTATAGGTTCGAAATACTTTTGGAGGCCCAGCTGCAGTTCTCCCACGTGGTCACTCCCTGAGGTGGCCTCTTCACAAGCCCCTGCCTCTCCAGCTTCTGCTCAAGGAATTGAAATGATCTGTGTCTGTCAGTCATGAGGTTGGTTTGCCTGTGTCAAAGGGCAGCCATCATCTGGTTTTATAGGGTTTATACAGATTTAAATCTGAGCCTCCTCCAGGCCAGGGGGAAATGATTGTGAAACCGGAAGATGCCAGACTCCTGGTTGATTATTACCAAAGGAGGGGGGGAATGTGGCATTTGCTGTTTGTATCTCGCATCAGCACCACTGAGCCATAGCCAGATAAGTGTTTATTAAGAATTGCTTTGCCAGATCAGCTCCATCTAGTCCAGCACCCTGTTTCCAACAGCGGCCCGGCCGATGCCTCTGAGAAACCCACAAAGAAGGCGTGAGGGCAGCTGTCCTCCACGGCTGCTTGTCCTTCGCAGATTGGGGCTCAAAGAAAGATTGCCTCTGAACATGGAGACTCCATTTGGCTCTTACAGTA